AGAAGATTCTCAGATTCTAAGACAACAAAACTCTCACCTAGACCAATGAGAGTCCCGAGGAAGCCGGCCAGCAAATCTCTGCCTGTTCTGTCCGGCTCTGACTCTGGTGGAGTCACGTGAGGCGACACAACACATTTACAGTGGCTGTACTCCATAGTGGGGCAGAGGCTGGGGGATGTTAGGGACAGGATATCCTGAAACCGGGAAACAGAGCAGATTTACAGTGAAATGTTGTTGTTGTTGTTGCTGTTGTTGTTGTTGTTGTTGTTGTTGTTCTTCTTCTTCTTCTTCTTCTTCTTCTTCTTCTTCTTCTTCTTCTTCTTCTTCTACGTCATCAACTGTGGTTCGCCGCCCATTTCTCTGCTCGGAAGCCACTGTTTAATGTGAAGCAGATGTACATGTATAGGGAGTAGTGATCATTACATTTAGTTCTCTTTCACGGTGTCATTCAATTATTGTGAGGCAGCGTGGTGACATCAGGCGCTCGTCAAAATAATAAAATTAAAGAAACTGGCACTTTTCCGCAGGCTTGTGAATTTTTATCGAAATTTTCGTTGGTTTGTTTTTTTTGCTCAACACCTTTCATGCCCATTAAAGAACACATTTCTGTGTGAATTTTACTGTAAAACGTTGATTAAAGGGACAAAAGGGTAAATTTTCAGTTTCTACGGACTCTCAAGCTAAAGAAATAACTCATCTTTGGCAGCCATTTTCTCACTAGCTTTACTTCTGAAACCAGGTGACCCACGCCTCCTTCATTCGCAAATATCTCGACTTGTATTCAAGATAAAAAAGAATTTTTTTTCATCCAAAGCAAGATATATGGACAAGCTTTAATATGATACGAATAACTCTACATGCCCCAAAATAGACGAGAGCCTGACTCCACCGCCTGATTAGCGACACAATTGGAGAATGAAAAAACAACAACCCTTGAGCACAATCGATACAATAACACGATAAAGAGCGGGAAATTACAGTAAGACTGTCAACATTGGATAGATTGATCGCTTCATATGCTTTCCTTCCTCATCGACACACGCTGATGAGGATAGCCTACTGTATTCCAACAGACAGGAAAACAGAAATGCTCTCTATTAAAAGATCAGTTTCTCAATGTAGGGATCCAACTCGTAACTTTTGCGTGAAAAGCATTAGACCACAGGCGTCAGAACACTGGTGTAACTCTCCCCAAAACTTTGATGTCAAGAGAAGAAACAGATCATAAAATGTAGTCAAAATGTTTATGAAGTTATTAACAGAGCAGTGTATCCATATAGTAAACCGAATTTCGGAATGTTTCTCCGTGAGTTCAGCTAGTAACTTGCTGTTTTACGATGCAGGTGGCCATGTTTAAATTCTCGAACTTTCATGACGTCCAAATGGCTCGGTTCTGTCAGAAACGGACGGAAATAGGAAGTTTCGCCTTTTAGATAGCCATATCGTGTTGAAAGAGCCGATAAAATACATACCGTACTGTATTGACAGTAAAAACAGGTCTCTTATCCGCTGTTTTCCTCTAAGACGGCTACAGAAAAGTTGCGTTAGTTTCTTTTCCCGAGTTGCTACAGTCCGAATCAGTTCCAGACAAGATACTGTTCGTCATCGATTTTATTACATGGAAGCTACAACTCGACAACATGACTACAATAAAGACAATAACAACAACAAGTATGAATAAAGACGACAAAAACAACATTTAACGACTCAACAACAATATCTGAGACCCCCCTCTCCTGGAACTCACAAAAGGATTTCCGTACATCCCGGGATGCCAGTGAGTGCCAGGACTCCCAGTAGCAGGACGTCCGCCCCCTGAAGGATTCCCAGAAACAGGACCACTCGAGGGATTCCAAAATACAGGGCCACTTGACGGATTCCCAGAAACAGGACTGCCAGGTGGATTCCCAGAAACAGGACTGCCTGGTGGATTCCAAGAAACAGGGCTACCTAATGGATTCCCAGAAACAGGGCTTCCTGATGGATTCCCAGAAACAGGGCCACTTGACGGATTCCCAGAAACAGGGCTACCTGATGGATTCCCAGAAACAGGGCCACTCGAGGGATTCCAAGAAACAGGGCTGCCTGATGGATTCCCAGCAACAGGGCCACCACTCGACGGACTTCCTGAAATAGGACCACCTGAAGGAGCCCCCCAAAGAGGGCCACCGCCGCCACTAGGGGTCCCTGAACCTCCAGTACCGGGGTGCCCCGAAGAGTTAGGATTTCCTGTACCAGGTCGACCCACTCCTGTCACAGGGCCACTGGCGCCACCTACAGGACTTTTGGCTGGGATTCTGCCGTGGGGAAAAAAGGGAAACAAAACTTGGTATACACTGATGCTAACTTTAGTAATACATGTACTTGTACGATACGAATATCGCTACAATTTGAACTCAGAAGTAATCAATATTATAGTTATCCTTAAAATCCCACCACAAACCAGCCATTGCAGATTTAAACATTGAAAAAAACCCAAACTATCGCTCAAAGACATTATAAAATTCTGTTTGAGGAGGATTGCATTTCGAGATTTTTGTACCTGAACGACAATGTGCAAGCTAGAATTCATATGCTGGATATATTAATAACTATTTATTTGGTGTGTGTGTGTGGGGTGGGGGTGGGGTGGGGTGGGGGTGGGGGGGGGTATTCTCCCTGCTTTCTTTTTCAGCCCTTTTCTCTTTTCTTCACTTCATTTCTTTTCGGTGTTGCTATCTAGGAAAAATCTGTGTACTGTGGGCTGTATCTCGAAGACGCTGTCGACATATAAACTAACCACGAAACAAAACAACCACAGTAACCATAGTACGCCAAACTGACGCCGCCCCCCCCCCCCACCGAATATCTCACTTGTTCCGATAGCCACAGGTCAGACCTTGCCAGCCGTCGACACAGCTACAGGTGAAGCCCAGGAAACCATTCACGCAGATCCCGCCATTCTTGCAGGGGCTGGACGCGCAGAAGTCAAACCCTGCAACATAACACAACAGTGTCGTATGATTCAGACACGCTTGTTTTCACATATCAGTATCACTGAACTAATACGAGCCGTATGATTCAGACACGCTTGTTTTCACATATCAGTACCACTGAACTAATATGAGTCGTATGATTCATGCACGCTTGTTTTCACATATCAGTATCACTGAACTAATACGAGGCGTATGATTCATGCACGAGTGTTTTCACATATCAGTACCGTACCACTGAACTAATACGAGTCATATGATTCATGCACGCTTGTTTTCACAAATTAGTAACTCGAAACCAGTAAGTGTCTTATGACTCAAGCACACTTGTTTTACACATCAGTAACATGGTACTAATAAATGTCTAAAGCCCCATTTACAGGTACAGTTCACTGATCGACAAACTGTTGGATATCGAAAGAATGGCGGGGATCCTGTCAACTTCCCGGTAAAACTGAGCGTGGAAACGAGCAATCCTCTCGATATCGAAGGGTTCTCAGTCCAGCCACCAGATACCCGGCGAAACCAGAAATTTTTCCGACCGGCGAACTGAAGGCCTGACGACGAGGGAGCGGCTTCTTTGATGTTGCCCCAGGCGGAGTTGAAAATGCATTAAAAAGATTTCTTAAATATTGGTCAAATAAAAAAAAACCCGACAGATTTTCGTGATCAGCGATCCAAAATTAGTCAAATTCAAGTGAGTAACAAAATTTAATGCGGATTACCGAGTTAATTTTTCTGTGTGTTTTGTGTGTTTTGTCAAGGACTGACACTTTAAGGATAAAAAAGAACCTTTACGTCTAAATGGAACTTCTCTAGTCGACAAACTTTCAGTTCAACGATGACCCAGATCTAGAGTCTGTTGGTCAAACTGTCAGTTTGTCGATGAATGAACTGTACCTGTAAAGGGACCCTTATACCTAAGGCCGGCGGTACTTGTTTTCCCAATAATTTAGTGACATGGTACCAATGAGTATCTTATAACTCAAGCACACTATTATTTTCACATATCAGTAACCCGGTACCAAATTAGGATATAATATAATGTACCGATCCATCTTTCATCAATGAGCATTGCTGCCCTTAGGGTAATTTCAGCTTACCCCCCCCCCCCCCCCCCCCCCCCCTCAACCCCCTTTTTTATAGGCGAGTTGGGTTTTTAAAAAATTGTAATAGAAAAATCCAAAGTCAACTTAGAAAGCTCATACCAGGCTCACAGTTCCCCAGACATCTCCCAAATGTAGAGTAATATTTATTACTTTATGAGCTCAGTTATTAAGCACTTTTTGGTTCGAATCCCTTAGGTGTGCATACACCCATTCTTTGGAGAAATTGTAAAAGAAAACAAACAAACAAAAATAAAACCCCTCTGGTCCTCGAATGTGCAACAACTACAGATTAACTAGCCTCTTGAAGTTGGCAAAACTGGGTACTGGCTATGAAGATGTTGGCAAGCACTGTGCGATAAGATAAGATAAGATAAGATAAGATAAGATAAGATAAGATAAGACAAGATAAGACAAGATAAGACAAGATAAGACAAGATAAGATGATACTTTATTGGCCTTACAGGAATGATCAAATTACATGTAGATATACATATATTTTGAATTACATTGCTTTCCTAAAAAAAAAGAAGAAAGAAAACAGTATGAAGAGAAAAGTAAAGCTGACAATAATACACATTTCACATCAGATGCATCTTTCAACCAAATGCATATTAGTATCGAAAGAGGTTCAGAACCAGGTGGGCATAACGAAGAGCACAGGGAAAAACGATGGTAGTCACAAACTGGAAATTGTAAAGGTGCCAATTTTAAAAGATTGTGAACTCATAACTTCATATTTGTTTGACCGGTTGTATAATAAATATTGTTAAGGTGTTGTTGAATGGTAAATCTAACAACATTAATAAACCAACACTTGAACAGAAATACCGTTATGAGTCAACCAGCGTTCAAAATTGGTACCCTCACGATTTTCAGTTTGTGACTACCGTCGTTTTTCCCGTGTAGTATTGAGTACCTGTCTGACACAGCGTTCCAGTAAAGCCTGGCGCACACTGGCAGGTGAAAGAGGCGACGTGGTTCAGACAGACGGCGCCGTTCATGCAAGGGCGTGGCAAACACTCGTTGATGTCTGGTGGGGAAGACACGACAAGGTAGACACGTACATTGTTAGGACATAACTTGTGTACACGTATACATAGGACAAAAGATGGGT